TAGAACCCGATGGTATGGTGGACTTGACGATCGAAATGGCGCCAGGATGAGAGTGCCAGAGGTTGTCTTTGTTTGGAGCGCCAACAGTGCCATGTTGAGCCACTAAGTAACATCCAGAACTGCTCTCGATTTGACTGCCACTGCCCACATCCGGTGAGATCCCGTTTCAGATTCATTTAAAATTTCGATTCAAAGCTCGCGATTTGGAAGTGTTCAACATGCCGATGGCAGCTTCGAAGGTCTCCGCGGTGAGGCGACATGGAGGAGATTTGATGACCCTTCAAGTCCTCAGGAATACGTTGGTTTTGACGGCGTATCACGGCTTCTTTTTCTTGGCAAAGTCACGATTCCCTTGACGTACCAGCTGACGAGCAAGTTCAGAAGTTTTCTGTCCATTGCGTCATTCTGTGGACACATTCTTTGCTTGACCGCATGGTTTAAAGTCGGGGTTCGGTTCTTTGCGTCACAGTCTTTGCGTCACAGGCCCGGCGATGGAAAGCTTTGTTTTATAAGTGAAGAACTCTTGATTGTGTCAGGTGTTCACAACCATTGTAGACCCTGAAAAGAGGGACCGTGTAAGACCCTCTTTACCTGATAGTCTTGGACTCACCTCAAACGGATTTTTATATACATTATTGCTTAGGGAACGTTATGTCACGACCTTTTCAACAAAACATCACGTAACATCATGTCAAAACTTGATGGCTTGATCAGTCCCACGCCCACTAGAAGTGAAAAACTATCAGGCTTCAATTCACAGTGAACTTGACCATCCTGTTCACTCTGTGAACTTGAGCAGCCTGTGCACTCTGTGAACTTGAGCATTCTGCGCACTGTTGAAAAAAAAGAACACATCCTAGACCCCATTCCTTTGGGTGTGTTTTATTGTTTCAATAGTTCATCTTTCCAAAGGGTCCACAGGTGTGCTAGACCTAGAGTTTACAGGTCTGAGGTGGTATTCCTGAAGCTTAGTGTAGGTAGACAAACGGTAGCACCTTGACACAAGCTGTGAAGGTTGAAGACAGAGCGCGTGAAAAACGGATTCTTTTTGTCAAGATTTGTCAACTAGCATGTTGCATGTACATATCCTGAGGTCCAACTAGGTGTTACTTGACCAGGTTAGAACTTTTTGCCCGCACCGGCCACGAACCGGCCTTAAGGTCTAGCATGGTCCTGGCAACTTTTAGAATTGCCTACAGAAGATCAGGTTACTGTTATACCCCAGTTTTGGGGGTCTACTTGATGTTCCTAGGGTTTTTGGCAAGTAATTGCTGCTATATATACTGACTGTTGTTATTAGTCTTTTTGTGGTAGCAGGAATCATTTCTGGTCTATCCCTGCCCGGAACCTGTGCAACCCCTATTTTGGTCTACCAGCCACCCAAAATATAGGTTATTTTTCGATCAAAAACCCGGTGTCAAACGGGTTGTTGGTGTATAGTATAATAGTGTTCTCACTGCAGCCCTCCGTCTCCCACCCGCGATACCGTGACATGTTCCGTGCATGAGAGGTTCCCGCTGGAAAAAGGGATGCGAAGGATGAAGGATGGGAGATGTCCCTACACAACACGATATACCTTGCTGTAGATACCTGCAAATACCTGCAACATGGGCACCCAAATACCTGCAGGAGTAGATATCCTTTTCCACTTCACGGGGCACGGGTTGTTGCCTCCCCTTGACGCCCGTGTGCTTTTGACCAGCTCTCCATGCACCCTTTGAGAAAAGGGTGAGGGGTTTCCTTTCACTCCTAGCTTCAGATGAGTGTAGCTAAGGGAGGAAGAAGCAACCCTTGGATACCCCAGTAAGTGTAGTGAATCCCCTTATCCAAAAGGGAAGGTTATAAAGAATGCAAGCTTCAAAGGCTACGGATGAGAAGTGTTTCGATAGCTGTTCTAATCAACATTTTTTTGGAAAAGCACACTTCCGAAATGACCAGAAGCGGTGCCCCACCCACACCAAACACAAGAGCTGGAAGCACTAAGAAAGATTCGTTCGACGGTGCTAGCAGATGCAGGTTATAGGAGCGAGTTTCAGAAGCGGCAGCTTGGGTTGCAGTCCACATCCACCAAGAAACCATTGGCACAAGCTCTAAGGACACCGGGCCCCCCGGTTTGGGGGGTTAATGGACACCCAACCTCTAAGGTGCTATTCAACACCCCCAACAGGGGTCCTGGTACTTGATTTCTTGTGAAACTAGCTTCATGATATTTGGGGATAAAATCAGACTCCCAGGACCTTCAAGGGGTGTCCAATGGAGATCCCTAAGTAGTCTAGGGACTTCCAGCCAGGTAACCCTGGAATGAAGGTGCCGCTCCGCATGATATTCCTATTCACTGACTTGCAGTTGTAGGACGTGCACCACCTGAATCAATGCAGCTGCTGGCTTCAAGCTCCAAGCATCTCTAAGATCCGGTTTATCGGATTTACTGTATCGGTTTCCAGAGACACTTTTATACGTAGATTCTTATATGTGATTCATAAAAAAACAAAAGCAAAAACACCAACTCATGTGGCTCATGTGGTGTTCAGAGCCGAGAGCACAGATCTCATATGGTTTAAAGATCAGCAAAGTATAGCAACTTAGCAGTACTCCATTCTCTCGGTGCCCAATCGTTCCACCGAGGGTAAGACATCTTCGATAGCTTCCTCCCTTTCTCTGGTGATTCAGAGCCCAGGAGAGTCTCAGCATGTCGATCGACTCCAGCAGCTGCATGGGGGGGACCCTGGTTGTTTTGCAAGTCTCGCAGAGGACTTCTCCACTGGTACTTCTTGGCCCAGAGAGTCCTTCATCAATGCACAGAAGCTTGCGCACCTCATGCTGCTGATTTGGTCCAGGCCCCACCTGCCAACCTCTTTCCTGGTAACTCCCTGCCTAAGTTCACCACACTCCGCAAGCACTTGGCCCACTCTGCGGCTGCGCTGGATGAAACGGGCACGAGGCCGGGCCTCCAACTGAAAGTCGAGTTGTGACGAGTCGACCCAGTCGACGTAGTCGCACCCGTACCTCAGAACAGAGGGACAAGTAGTCGACCAGACCCGTAGCTGTTTTGGTTTCGGGCCCATGTCACTGTCATGATCCATTCATGATCCCATTTTCTTAAGATCCGTCCGTTGGGACCGGACGTGGTCAGACGTGTAGGTGGCAGTCTGACCAGACCGGTGGTGCCTTCAGCTGTGGTCCGACCAGGTTGGCCAGAGGTTCGGCTTCCCAGAGGTTCCATTGTCCAGTTATACACCGATGTTGTTACATGGACAGACATGGACCGTGTAGAAAGTGAAATTGATCAGTGTAACCGAGAAAAAAGTTGTGCACAGTTTAGGCGTCGAGCGAGGGTGTATTCAATCGAGCGACGATGTTGTTTGAAAGGGTCAATGGGATATATAACTCATATTAATAACATCTATAGCTGTGTGGAAGGGTCAATGGCATATATATATATATATCGTATATATATATATAACGTCTATATAGGTTTTGGATGTTTTGATGATATTTTCAGGTGGCTGGAATGTGGATCGAACATCTAGCTCCTCCAGGTGTGTCGACCCGTCTGTCTATGAGTCCCTCGGAACATGGTCACGCGACCGTCGTACTTGTTCAGGTCGAAGTTGCGAAGGACGTCGGGTCTAGGTATTTGAGTGCGTATCATGTCTATCACCAGCCGGCAGGTCGACAAACGGACACCCGAATACGAAAACGGGTAAGAAAGAAGATGCCTTTGAAAATCAGTCATGAGGCTTTAGCTGGTTTGGGGCTGTAGAACCCTCCAAGTCCGTTAGCTTGTAGAATTTGATAAAACCCCGCATGTTCCAAAGACGATGAATACTTCATACTCAATCGTACTCATCTTAATAGCAGCATCCTCCAACAGGTCTCTTCTAGAGGGTTGTTGGGCCCACACATATGTTTCAATTGGATAATATCTGTTGGAGGGCACTATAGCTATACTTGGTCCCATTGTCAATCCAGAGCATATCTTCAGAGGTGGTATAGGAATCAGCATGCCGATTTGGTTCCATCCTTTGAAGTGAACCTGTCCATCAGGCGGTCCCACTTGAATAAAGATCTAAGCTAGATGGGGACACATGCAAACTGTTGCATTCGTCCTAACTGTGCAGTGAAACGGCCCCACACACTGTTTCACTAGCGCTCCTGACCTGCTTGCTGCCAGGTGCCAACGGCCCCACACACTGTTTCACTAGTGCTCCTGACCTGCTTGCTGCCAGGTGCCTCACAAAACCGTCCCCGAAAAGAGGTGGGCGGTCGATGGGGATGGTGACCTTTAGGACCTACGACCGCGCTTTCGTGCTCTCACCGGTTTCACTTCGAAGCATCGGTGCGGAATGGCAGAACGGGACCCCATGAAATCCGACCTGAAAAGCAGGAACAAACGAAGCCGCTCGGATCCAATGTGTTCTTCCTCAGAGTGTGGAGCAAGTCCAACACCGAAGTTTAGGACGGTCAGTGGCTCAAATCACGAAAGCTAGCCTTAGCTAGCTGGAGTTGCTCTTGCTTTAGCAAGTTAAGTGACGGGGTGGACGCACCTCAGAAACCTCAAATAATTGATTAAATCAATCTTATGGCCCCCCCCCCCCCCCCGCGGTTCGACTCCCCCCTGCGCGCGCGCGGTGAGCGGGACCACCAAGCAGCTGAAGCACACCAAGCATCTGCAGCGCCCAGCGCAGCAGCGGCAGCAGCAGCAGCAGCATACCCAACGCCGCGGCAGCAGCAGCCGCAGCAGACCACCCAGCGCCAGCAGCAGCAGCAGCAGCAGACGACCCGGCGCCTGCAGAGCACCCAGCGCAGCAGCGCCCAGCGCAGCAGCGGCAGCAGCAGCAGCACCAGCAGCAGCAGCAGCACCAGCAGCAGACCACCGGAAGCCCGGCTAGCTTTCGTTCACCCCCTCTGGCCTCAAGTTTCGGGGCGCTTCGCGGGCCGCCCAGGGGGATAAAAGGTGGCCGATTCGTGTGATGAAGTGCTTTTATTTCTAAAGCTCTCAGAACTTTCGACATTCTCAGGACATTCTTAGGACTCTCAGGCGTTGCCTTGCTTCAAGGAATCTGGATCCAACCTTCGGTTCAGTGCTTGGAGAAAAAATAAATGAAAGACTGGTCAGGGCAACCGCCTCGAGTTTCTCGGAGAAACGAACGGTGAACAACCACGGGTGCAACACCGGTGCCACCCGGAACTCGCTGCCACCGTTCGAGAGAATCCTGAAGCACGGCACGACCAGTCAGTCGAGCCCCAGACTTCGCGGCCATCTTGAGAATCGGGTCAGACGTCCACAGTTGGAGCATTCCATCACTTTGTTTCAGAAAGAAGCTTGATTTGATCAGATGATTGGGTCCCTTTTGGGGGGATATAGATTCAGTTTGAATATACTGTAATTGAATCCATAAACACTGAAGCTCAGGTTTTGATTCTTGGATGATTTATAGACTATAGTGACTTTTGGAGGGTCCAGGCAGCCTATCTTGACCCTTTGCATTCTGGAATCCAGGCAAGCCTGGCCACCCCCGCCCCCCGAACCGTTGCAGTCACTTTGGCTTCAGATCATGTTGTCGCGTGATGAATCGCATCCACTTCTTTCCAGATCCATACGATCTGGATCCGAGTCCAATGTGAGTGGTGATGAAGATGGCGAGTCGGAAAGCGATGAGGGGCCATCACGAGATGTTGAGATTCACTTCAAGCCCAGCAGGAAGTCCAATGTCGAGCCGCAAGTCGGGGAAGAGCTGAAGATGGCTGTGTATGTGCGAGTGGATAAACTTACTTCAATTGATTTGGAAGGCCAGACATTCGCAGCATCTCTTTGGGTCTTCATTATTACAGCAGAGAAACTCTCAAAAGAGAAGAGAGAAAGAGTAGAAAAGTTCTTGAAGGAGTTCCATCCAGAGGAAACGCCAGATCAGCATTGGCTTTCTCCTCAAAATCTTGTTGACACTGGAGATGCAACACACCAACCGAAGCCCGACTTCTTAGATGAAGGTGAACGAATTGGCTTGACCTGGAAGCAGGGTGCTCAGAACTTCAATCATGCAAAGTTGAACATCAAAGCAGAGTCCCCATAGGGCCCAAGTATCTCCAAATAAACTGAGATGAAAGATTTTGAATTACTTGTACTTTTATTGGGAGCTATTTTTAGGTGCCAAAGCAAGGATATCCTCAGATTTTCTTGGGGGTTGCTGAGTCCACGTTGAAACTGAGGCTTTCCGGCTCGTTTGCAGAGGCATGGGAGTTGGACTTCTTTCCCTTCGACTGCCAAGACCTCAATGTCAAGATCATGTTTCGGCCTCCTGGTTTTGCGATTCTTGCCGAGGAGGTGAATGGATTGACCTTCAAGCACCTAAGAACCACCCCAATGTATGCAAACATTCCAGATGTGACATGGATTGAGAGACATAGCATCAAATAATATCAAACATACCCCAAAACATGTTCCGGCAGGGCTGTTTTGTTGAACATTTCCAGTGCATAACATATAGTTGTCGTGTAATTTTGTGTTCCTCGTGCACATCCAAGGTATCCAGCTGGCGACTTTCACTTTAAGTTTGTCGAGGATGAACAGAAGAAATCCTGGATCAGGGACAGAACCTTTCCAACCCTCGACAGAACATGGGACTACCCGGAACGGCTGACTGTGTGGGAAAGCCACGACAAAAGCGCCTCAAATCGTGGTGGCAAAAATCGTCAAATCCTGAATGTGACGCTGCAAGTGCGACGGAACCCGTGGTATTATGTCTACAACATCGTGGTTCCTATCTTCTTGATTGTTCTCATGAGCGGGAGTTCATTTGTCATCCGTCCCAAGGAAATTCAGGATCGCTTAGCGGCTTCATTGACATTGGTATTGACAGCAGTTGCCTATAAGTACAATGTGATGCAGGCAGTGCCTCCAGTTGGCTACCTCACTTGGTTAGACTACTACATGCTCATGTGCTACGTCTCGTTGTTTCTTGTTGTTGCGGAGAATTGCTGGGTATATTTGGAATTTGAAAAACGTGAAAGTGATTTTGCTTACAATCCCGTGCTGTATGATGAGTTTCGTAACGCAGAGTTTCACTATATCCAGATTTTGAGTTACATCTTCTTTGCCTGCAACATTGCTTTCTTTCTCGTTGCATGTCGTGCCAGATGGTGGCCTGGTAGAGTCTCTGGAAGAAAGGCCAAAAAGGATAGACTTCCATGCGTGACCTATCCCGATGCGCAGCTTTCTCGCTGTCAGTCCTTCTCATGTGGTGCTGATGATATGTAAATTGAGCTGGAAGGAGAGAGGTTTCTCTTCACGCGGCTTGGAACGTCATGGCGCAGCATCCTTTTCCTCGCAGCCATGCAGCCCGTGCCCTGCTGGAGAAACATGGCCTGTGCCGTGGGGTATCAAGCCTTTCGCAACCGGCAAATGATCAGGGATCAAGCAGCAGATTTAGTTGGACCTTTTGGTTCCTGAGGGTAGGTAGGGATGCACTGTCACCCTTCTATCGGTACGGGCTGGTGTGTTCGAGTAGTCTTATAGATGTGCAAGTCGGTGCCAATCTCGCCAACATGTTCCAGTCGTACCTTCACCTGAGAAGTAACAACAGAGGTTGAAAAAACCCTATAGACTATCCCATCATATCCCAGTTGGGTACCCCAGGTTACGGTCCTAGTTCAATGTCACGTCCACCTCTGTAGCGTGACCTTTCGGCAGTGGATCCCTACCGGACCCGTGGAGCCGCGCGTGACAGGCGGTGCGTGCAAGCGAGCAGGCGGTGGGACACGGATACACGCTTTCGGGGGTGTGCTTTTACTTAATACATATACTGTGCATGAAAAAGAACAAACTGAACAATTGATCATGTAAATAATAATGTGTTTAACAAGCACCAGCGCTAGCCATAGCCTTCGGAGGTGGTTGGGGTTTGTGCTGGACCGGAAAGACTGCCTTTCTTTGTCCCTACCTGAGGAGGGCACGGGAGGCCGTTCTAGGAGCCGGTGGTTGACTGTCGGAACAGATCGGAACACTGTGACTGTACAATAATGGCGATGGCCTCCAACCTACTAGCTTCTTGCTACTGGTACTAGTAATGGTCTACTAATGTCTACTATGTACTAAGGATCGGACAAGCTTTGGTTCACGAACTTGGGAACCCGACACGACATGGAACTTCCATCACATCGTTCTGATGTCGTTCTGATGGCCGGTCAATGACAGACATGACCTGGACTTCTTGGAATTAATTGGAATTTGATGAACATAGAGAGGTTGAATCAATATTGTTGCCAGCAAAAAGGAGGTTCCAGCTCCCTCAAAGTGACCTTTTCGAGTCCCAGCCACCTGTCACTTCGTGAGGTTTGGTGAGGGTGGGTGCCAGGCGGATCTGTGCCCACCTTCTCAGGAAGTGGGACAGGAACCCTATAGAAAAAAGACACCATCTCCCTAGAGGGATCCAGTCGTATCTCTTCTCAGATTCGGTGCGACTGGACCTTTGTGGCATCTACATCACATCATGTCTCAGTGTCTCCAAATCACCGTATGTCAGAGGGTGGCAGTGGCAGTGGCACTACCAGTGGGTCCGTGGGTCTCTAGCGACTGGAGACCTGTCACGCGCCGCCGCGGTCACGCGCGCGCCAGGGCCTGGCCTGGGACGAGGCAGGCCGGATCGAAGGATGAAGCGCCTTCTCGGGACCGGGATCGGTTGGAAGGGTATACTAGTAGCGATGCCCTCCCAGCTCCCAGAAGCCAAAAGGTCAGGATCTCATTTTGCTGAGGTGGATCATACAAAAGCATTACTCACCACTCAAGGAGCTGGTATACTGGGTCAGACTGGACCTGTAGGGGAAGAAATACACACCATATGTTAACTTAAAAATATACTGGCAATATTGTATAAGTTAGACTTCTGGAAACCCAGAAATGGAATGTTTCCACAGTCACAGTCCCGACCACATGTGGTATAAAGGATCTCAAGCTGGCGCCATGTTGGAGCAACCAACCATGTGTTTGCTTCTTGTTTGGACTTTTCTTGAACAGATCTATGAGAACGAGGAAACCAGATGCCAACAATGCCAACATCTACTGAACAAAAAACCCGAAGCAGACGAGACGATCCCATGGACCCATGAAGCCATTGACCGTGTGGCGCCAGCGGAGCATGTTGCTTTCGACCACCATTTGGGGCTTCACCTGTATACGTCCGGGGTGCCTCAGGGGCACTTGAACGGTTGTTTCAAGTTTCGTCCGAAACCTACGAACGAACTTGGACTCCACACAGTGGTGCCGGTTTCGTTCACGGAGGAAGTCGGGCTGCCCGACAGTCACATCCACGGCCCCTGGATGGGACGAAGCACACCACCCAACTCCATGTGACTCCTGTCGTCGGTTCATCAGACTGGGCACATCCCTCGCCCGAACGAGCCAAGCTTTCGCCGCTGAGAAGCTGCCAAGCTGCTTGTTTTGGGGGAGACCCGGATGTTTGTTTTCCAAGTATGTTGGACAAGGTTCCAAAAGGAAGACAGCTGGTATCACTCAGAAGCACTCTCTGAAACTCCTCACTCAGAAGCACTCTCTGAAACTCCAGATATGCTCCTTCATGTTTTTGATAGTTAAAGCGTCAGCTAGAGTGGTTCCGTGGTTTGCATTCAGTAACCCGCGGATGTCAGGGATCTGACAGATCTCCGCTCTGGTCACTTCCGGATCCACATAGACCCTCAGGTACGGTGAGGACGGAGACACTGAGACATGAGACGGTGCCAAAACGTCGGGTCCAGTCATACCGAACCTGAGGTTCGGTACGAAAACGGATCCCTACTTCTTGGTTTGGGGAACACGTCCTTAGTCTGAACGATTCCAGCCACGCAGGGAGCTGGGTCCAGTCACCCACCATCGGGAGACTGGAGGTTTGTCGTTCGTCTCCACGCCTTCAGCTCTGCTAGACCAGGAGGCCACGGCCATGGTCGACCTGGACCTGGCCTTTGAGGTGAATCACTCCAACTTGCAGGAGACGTCTGAGACCGAACTCACCAAAGGTATTGTCAACGGAGACGTCAACGGAGACTGTCCGGGAGTGTGCTAGAAGATTCTCTTTGTTTAAATCTTTCAAGACAAAAAGGCATTGAGTGAACTGCTGAAGTATGAAGACCATCGACTGGATCCTCTTGCCTTGCGAAGAAATGCACGGTTTGACCATCCCACGAAACCGAGTGATGGCAAGTGGTCCACCCAGGGCTACCACATGTCAAAAGCCAAATGACTCAAACAATTCAATTTTTGATTATGTTTTGTGTGAAACGATGTTCCGTTTAGGGATGCAGAAGATGTAAATGGTTTTGAGGGCTGATCCGGGTGGTTGGAGGATTCTTTTGGCCAATTTCCCCTTCAACATCTGGGTGAATTCACTGAACCCAAAAATCCTTCTCGCTGGGCTGGCCCGGGTGAGCCCGGCTCCCGGGGCATGTGGCTCGGAAGAGCTGCATGTTCTCGCCGGCCTGGTAGCGATGGACATCCCAAACACCCTATGTATGGAATAGTTACCTACCAGGATCCTGCCCTAAGAATCCTAGGGTTTTGAGGGCCCGGAACCCTGCTATGGAGGGTCCGACCCCTGCCATGGAGAGGTCAAGGATTCTTAGGGTGGCACATTGGGGTCTTAAATGGGATCAATGTAACTGCCCACGCTCCGTTCACAGCCCGACTGGGGTCCCTCAAAATGTAGGGATTTGAGACCCCAGAGCCCCCCCATATGAGGGTCCAGGGTCGCGTCTGGGTGTATGTGGATGGTCTGGAATCTGGAGTATGTGTTTTCTTCCGAAAATTCCAATCGAGGCGAGACAATGTACCAGAGGATCTCGCGATCGAGGCGATCGACCGTGCGGCTCCGAGGGGCGACCAAAACCGTTCAACCCAGGTGTAACAAACTCCCAGTGGATCCCAGTTGCCACTATATAAGGAACCAGGGATTCTAAGTGTATGGTTTTAGTCTTTGGAACCACTGGTTACCAGCGAACTAGTGGTAACTGGATCCCCTGGGACTGTTTACCCAAAAGCTCAGAAGCGACCCAACCCGTTCGCGGTGGGTTTTGACCCTCACAACCAGGGTGTTGCCTGGACCGAAGCAACATGTAGCAGTTGGTTCTGGGCCGAACGGGTCGCCTCTGGGTAGGGTGAATTTTGCCACTGAAAGTCCAACAAATCTACCAAGCCTCCCGAAGCAAGATTCAGTTCTCCCTTTGGAATGTCTTACTTCTACCTCATAGCAGCTTTGACCTCTTTTTCCCTCCCTATAGGGATCCAGTCGTACCTTCTCAGATAACAATATCTTCAATCACCATCTGAGAAGGTACGACTGGATCATACTGGATCCTTAGCGCCTGAGTTCTTGGGTGGCAACACTGCTGAATCGAGCCGTGAGTCTCCATTCAAATCGCTCTGGCTGCCCGATCAGTACCGGCCGCAACCATCAACAATTCATTCGCATCAGCCCGAACCGCCGAGCAACCAGCAACGTCCAACAGGTCTCCCAAATGGTGGCGCAGGTGGTGATCTGTTGGAGGGCGCTGGTAACAGCTGGGGTATATATAGGCCCTAGGATTCAAACAACCATTGCTGTTTTAATGGTCTTTACCAAAAAAACATTCTTTTAGGGGATTTTGCACTACACCACTTGTTCCTCAACCGTTCTTTGAATGGTCGAACTGAAGGCTAGGGGTACATTGAGAGTGGCTCCAATGTTTCGACCCGCTCCACATCCCCACCAGGATGCTGGGCCAGAGTGGGATCTTTTGGCGTGGTTGCGGAAGGAGAGAGCGGCCGGAATGGAACCTGGTTGTTCTCTTTGGCTCCAGTCCTACCTCCATTTCGGTGAAGGTGGTAAGGGTGGGTGGTGTTGGGGGGTCTGTGCCCACTGAACCTGAGGAGATTAGCCCAGGAGCCCTGAGGGGTTTCACTTCGTGACCAGACTGAGATCGCAGGTGGTTCACACCTTTGTACGGTCACTTAAACCTAGGATCCTGAAGTGCGGTCACCTCAAGAAGCTGGACCATGTGGTGGACATGCCCTAGGGATCCAACTACCTTCTCAGAAGGTACTTAGACCCTCCAAACCTACATCACAGTGTCTCCAATCACCTTCTTAGAGGGTATGTGGATCCCTAGGGATGGATGGAACATGTTGCTTTACTTCAGACATCTTCAGACCATCTTCAGGCTGGACCTTCCCAAGGAAAAGACACCGGGACCTGATCCGTTTTATGTGGCATGAAGATGCATGAAGTACTCAACACTTGGATTACGAACTCTGAGGGTCCAAGTATTAACCACTCAGGACTGCAGAGGTCGTTTTCACTGAGAGACGAACCTGGACAGGATGTTGTACATGGAGTCCAGAACCCCTCCAGATCTGTCTATAACTGTCGTCGGAGTGTAGTCGGAAGACTCTTGCTTGAAATGACTTCCCGTTCCACTTCCTGGAGTGGACGCTTCGGGTGTAATTCTGGTGACCAGCGGAGCGGTTTTGTCGGAGCTGGGTCATTCCGCCAGGCGGAAGACGTGGTCCGTGGTCCGGACTTGGTCATTCGCTCCGTGCATGGACTTGGTCGGAAGCACTCCTAAGACCTAAAGCCTCAGTGGTGGGGCCGACCCTGGGCTGGTGAAGACCATCGGTCCATGTAGGCCACTAGGTCCTAGGTGGTGTCGGCAACCCCCCGTTTCCTCACCTCTAAGGGGCTACTTATAGACACCTCTTGGAAGGTTGTGGCATGGATGGGTCTGAGATACAATAGTGATGTGCTGACAAAAACTCTTAGCCTTCTACCGCTTCTACTCAGAAAAGCTGAACGACTTGCCGCACTTGCTGAGTTGGTGGCTTAACAGCTTGGAGAAGATGATAAGACATCGAGGATTGACGTTTTGGCCATGAGTCTGACCATCTACACATCTATATATCTCCATCTCACCATGTCCGTGGGACGACTCAGCTGCTTGAAACAAAGGCATCTCACCCAGCTTGTTGCCTGTGCAAGGCCAATTGATATGGATGAGTGGTATTTGCAAAGTCTGGGTCCGGCCTGCCCAATAAGCCTACTATGCCCTGGCCTTCAAAGACTGACACCAAGAACATGTGTAAAAGTATCTAAAAGTATAGTAGGTCAAGACCATTTAAACAACGTTTGTTGGAATCCCATATTTGCACGTGTGCTTGCACCAAAACGAGCCATCACAGCAGGCTTCTCGTTTTAAAGAGTCCTCACGTAGGATACCCGGGAGGTCGCAGAGAAAAAAAAGAAAACAAAAAAATGCTCCTGCAACTTGCTTCATCAGACCCAGCAACACACACAAAGCACGTGTGTGTTGAAACGGACATTCACGTGCTTCGTTATACCCACACACCGAAGAGTATCGTTGGAGTTCACTGTTCGGACGTCCTCATAACCGGAGACTGGACGCAGGGATTGTGATATATCAGGAGATAGATCAGCAATAATGTCGATGGATCTCAATGTCGACACTCCCCCTATTCTAGAGGTTTTGTTTTCAGCAAAAAGAGTCCTCAGTCAATCCAACCAAGTGCCTCACACACCCTTCGCCGCACACCGTGGAACACTCCCGGCGTTCCAGATCGGGGCGGTGCCATGGCACGAGCGCGGTCCAGATCACCACGGAGCAATCTGCAGATTGCGGATCAGAAGATTGTTTTCATAGGCCATTCTGTTGTGCCGAGAAAACCGGAGTTTGTCCGATTTCGAGTTGAGATGGTATGAATGGGGCGTCAGATGGTATGAAACACTGGTATATTGCAGACATGTTGATCAAATTATGTGCATAAGCTGCCACTGCAGCAGGATCGAGCTAATTCTGATCTCTGAAGTCAACATTGAAGTTGTTTCATATATAAAGACATTAAGTTGAAGATTCACTGAGACAGGTGAACTTGTGATGAACGAGTTTATCCAAGCACGAAGCAAACAGCTCTTGTTGCAAAACAACAATGCATGTAGACAACAAAACACAGATAAAGCATGCATTCAGCATTGTAATCAAGCATCAGCATCCCCCTGGCCTTCCAGTGAGTTTCCAATACCGAACCCAACATCCGTATCGACATGTATCAAGCTCGGCCCTGCGGGGGAAAATGGGTGGACCAATCGGACCAATCAGATGAAGAGAGGGCACGGTTTCCCGTTCGTGCTCATGTGCCCAATCCATCCGCACAAACCCTGAAGTGCGAAACCCAGGCACTTCCACTCGCTTTGACTTGGGGCAGAAGTATTGTGGAGTCAACAACGGTGCCTCGATCGATGAGACAGACTGGGAAGGATCGGCTTTCTCCAAACGATACGGTGTCCATGTACATTCATATGCCAGCACGGGGCATTCCAGGTGTCCATGAATAGCACCTTCCTTAAGAGGTGATTTGGGGTGCTCATGTCTACCAGACTGGGAATTTCCAGCTACATAGCTCGTGTTCTTTGTGACATGTCTTTACAAGCCCCAGAAAGGATCCAGTCGTACCTTCTCAGGTTAGGTGTTGTGTTCGACATTGTTATGTAGGTGCCCTGGTCGGGTCCAGTCCTACCGAACCCGAGGAGCTACGAAAACGGATCCCGAGAAGCACGTTTCAGGGCACCGGCGATGCCGAGTCTCGCGAACCGCGCCCTGTGTACATGAGACCAGTACACATAAGGGACATGTCAGCCAGCCCGGCCATGGGCCACGGCACCGGGTGTCCTTGCTTGACCACCGAAAATGAACAGAACAGACCCACAGCCATGTAAAAGCCTCCTGCTACCTAAACCGAAGCTGTAAAATGATCGTTTCTATTGGCATGTTGTTTGACAAAACACATTACATATCTTGATTTTGTTGAATCTCTGGAAAACATTATGTTTTCGGAAAACTATAGTGTTTTTGCAGATTTAAGAACCGTAGAACAACCCCACAGAAACTTGTCGCGACCCGTCTACAAGAAGGAAAACACGTAAATCAGATGTTGGCTGAAACATTCAGATCAGAAAACCAGATCAGAGAATAGATCAGGTGTTGGCTGAAAAAAATCACGTTTCAACCAGATCAGAACAACGTGGCGTTTCTTCCAGTTACCCTTCATGGTGTTCCACATCTTCCGAACGCGGCCCTGGCGCGCGCTACCGGATGGACCGAACGCACGTCACGCCGAGGCTTGTTCAAGTGCAAAGAGCGGATCAAAGAGCTCGGAGGCCCTCGGCATGGGTAAATAGCTGGAGTGGTTCATGGACACATACAGTATATCTTGGGGGTGTCTTATTACATGTCACTGTTTTAGAGAAAGGCCTTTACCAAACCATCATCATCCACTGTTACAGGGAATGGGATATACCCAACATATGGACACGGGTTTCACCTCCTAAGGAGGTTTTTATGATACCCCGAGATGGAGGCTCTCTGTGTTGCCAGACATTGATATTTTTCTAGACATAGCCTTAAGAGGGATGAGTTGTGGTAGTCATGAAGCGAGAATACAAGGAGACAAGAGGACATTGGTGGCATTTAGATAGTGATTTGATAGCAATCAATGATCTCAGAAAGTCTATGATGCACTCAGCTGACGTTCATGTGTTGGTCAATCTAGATCTATCTAGATCTCCAGCTCAAACCTAAACATGTGCCACTTTGATTGATGCTGTCATCACGATTTCGCTCCATTCTGTTCAACTCCAAGCGGGTTCCCCGGGAGAACCCGCCGGTCACCCGCCGGTCACCCGCCGGTGCACCCGGCACCCGCTTGCCGGTGCAGGTGAGGTGGTGGGGACCGTTGCCTCGGGTCGAAAGATCATCCCCAAGGACGAGCGCCTCGGCGTTCGGCTGAGGAACCCGGGAGTTCTCGTTCTCCGCGGGGGGGGGGAAGATGAAGGAAGAGACTGAAGACGTATGTCATGATATCCATGACGTCCATGATGAGTATATATAAGATAGATATCAGGTTATAGTAAAAAGACGTCCAAATGGATCATGAATCCTTTCGTCGACTGGTTGATACCAGTTCGTGATTCTTGCGGATCATACAGATCTTGGAGCCATCTCCATCCAAGAACCCGGGCGACGTCGCCTTATAAGAATTCGGTATCGACCTGGATGTTTGGAGGCGGAACCAACACCCTATAAGTCCTGTCTGACCCAGTAAAACCTGTTTCTTTACCCCTTAAGTATTGGTTCTTAAGTAGCAGGCAGGTGGATCTATCTGTGTCAGAGAAATGACTCTCTTCTGGCTTATTTGAGGCTCCACAAGAGAGAGAGAGAGAGAGTTCAAAGTTGAATCCTGGTAGTTGTTTCATGATTTAGGGGACAATTGGAACGCATTGAGGCTCAACTGCGAATTTGCAGCTTGGAGGATTGCATCCGCCCCTTCCATCTCTTCCAGCTACTTCCGTCTCTTTGGACCCCCCAAGTTCAGCGTGCCTCACCTTACCCAGGAGTTCAGTGCACCTGAGGTGCACCTCGTTTGGGGATCTTTGACCCCCCTTTGCGGCAACCGGGGGGACCCCCCTACAACATGGTAGGGATGATATTTGGGGATGTTGTTTTTTCTCGGCACTAAATGTGAACTGATGGAAAGTTTGGTTACGGTCAACCATGGTGAGTCTTGTTCTTTTTTCAAGGGACACTGAGGAAGTCGAAGGGGGCTGCACTTGGTGTCTCCGGAAGAAGAGGACTTCCCTTCGGTCCATCGGGATCGGTGACTCCCGAACGATCCGTTGTCGTAGCGAACCGGTAAGCGCTTCGGCACTTTCGGTCCTGAAAGGTGACTCAAATGTCCATGGATCCAACCACCTCGGCGGTTGGTTTGATCCACATGAAGACCTCGTTCTCAGGAAGATGATTGAACGTGCGGACCTCGTAGTCAAGCAGCTTGGCGTGGTCGAGCAACGTGTCCAGCCTGCCCCACAGCTGGAAGGCCGAAGGTTCGTGTCCCCAAAATGGTTCTACGGTGGCGTGCAATGTGCATCATGCATGTTTAAATATTCTTAAGGACGGTGAGAGATGTGGGAGTAGTATGACAATAGTAGTTGCAATAGTAGCCAGGGGCCGGTAGCTATTAGCAGCAGCAACAGCAGTAGTAGTAGCAGCAGTAGTTGTTGTTGTCGTTGTTTTTTTGGTGTTATTCTTTTGCATGGGGTAGAAGCAGAAGGACTACCAGCCACAACACTCCAAGGATGAGCAACTATGCTGATGTGGATCTGCAGAAGGCGTCTCACCACATCACCCACCTGGCCCAAACTGAATCGGATTCGGCCCATCCATCCGCCAAATCGACCTCCCAAAACCAACTGGCGTTACGGAGAAGTGCATCACCCGCAAAAACACACACGTTAACTGGGAATGGGTTTCTCCATGTTTCTCCGTTTCTCCACGTCCTGTGGATATCACGTTTTGATTCGTCCGACGGAGGGAGTTCCGGAGTTCGTTCAGTTCGCGGCCCCCGAGCGGGATAGACAGCCGACATGCCATGGATGATGGACGCATGTTTGTGGATATACTCGATCCCTGGCCTTACGTTTGATAATTGAAAGAGTTCGGTTGACCTAGTTGTGTATCGTCTACAATCAGAGAATGGCTGTTTGGTCAAGACGTGTATACAAAGACGAAAAGATCATGTGGGCCAGGGAAAGTCATATCCCATTGTTCAGGGTACTTCGGAGCGTTCATGAACCTCAGACAAGCAGACCTCGAACTGCTGACCCCGACCCCCCCCGAGACCTCCCTTTCGTGTTCCGTGTTCTCCCTATAGGACTCCAACCATATGCTCAGGTTCGGTGGGCACAGACTTTTGGCACCCCACCCCACCCCACCCCACTGAACCGAAACGAGGACTGGAGCCCTATAGGTCTCGGATGGGAAGAAACCCGCCAGGCCGAAACGGAGCAAAAGAAAGTCGTCGATCAGGAGATCAGGGGTTTGCTGGGTGAAGCTGCATCCGCCCATCGGCTGGGTTAGCGCGATGGAACAGACGTCGGAGGGTCCAGTCATACCGAACCTGAGGTACGAAAACGGATCCCTTTTTTTTTTTTGGCACGCAGACTCACTGTCTTGTTGCCGCTTTGGGG